CACACACACACACACACACACACACCCACACACACACACGACCACACACACACACACACACACACACACACACCACTGCAGGGCAGAGAAACTATGTATCTCGTTAAGGTTCGGCGTGGAGCCTAATGCACGCTAAGTGTTGAGCTAACGTCACCTCGAATAAAACACTCTGCAGGAAAATAAACAAATAAATAAATAAATAACACGTTGAATTTATTCAGCGCTAAAAGAAAAAAGCAGAAGGTGTGACTTTTATCACATCAGTATTTCAGCTCGTCCTCTGTCTGGGAGGTTCTGTGTGTGTGTGTGTGTGTGTGTGTGTGCGTGTGCGTGTGCGTGTGCGTGTGTGCGTGTGTGTGTGTCTGAGTGTGTGTGTGCGTGTGCGTGCGTGTGTGTCTGTGTCTGTGTGCGTGTGTGTGTGTGTGTCTGAGTGTGTGTGTGTGTGTGTGTGTGTGTGTGTCTGTGTGTGTGTGTGTGTGTGTGTGTGTGTGCGTGTGTGTGTGTGTGTGTGTGTGTAAAAGTATAAGGATCAATACAAAGTGGTTGATTCTCTGAAACCTGAAAACGCTCCAAAATGTCTTAATTTCAACCTAAATTCATGTCCGATCCTAATCTTATTGTTTTGCCTGTTCTGCACAACACTAAGCATCAAAGCTACCTACCGTCCATTTTCCAATAACGATACGGCACATATTTTAATATTTAAGAACTTGGCAATAGTTTACCTACGTCCTAGATCCAGTGTGTTTATGTACGCATCACCAATCATTTTGACACCAGGTCAAATCCCTCGGACGTGTCGACCCACCTGGAGAGGAACCTGATCCTGATTCATATAATAAATGAATTCACATATTTCCGAGGAGCCCCAGAAAACACTCACCACAGGAGGTGTTGATGGAGTCCCGCAGCTCGGCGTATTTCCACTTGCTCAGCTCGTACTTCTTCGCTCCGGCTGCAGCTTTAGTGGCCTGAACCTGTGGACCTCTGGGAGACAAAGACACAAGATGGACGCAGGAAGTGAGCGTCAAAGAGCAGGAAGTGAGCGTCAAAGAGCAGGAAGTGAGCGTCAAAGAGCAGGAAGTGAGCCACACAGAGCAGGAAGTGAGCCACACAGAGCAGGAAGCAGGAAGTGGAAGAGGACTGGAGTTATGTGCATATAGAAGAGGATTGATGGGTGGAGCTTACAGAGCGGGAAACAGGTCTTTGATATTATAAAAAAGTGAGATTTGGATTTGGATGTTTGGACACCTACTGACTCAATAAATGCAATTCATCGGCATTTATTTCCCAATTGCATGACCACGTAAGGCTCAAATCAGTCATGTGTTGTTAAGAAAAGAGTTTTTATATAATGGTTGTTTTTTAAATGACATGGTTCCTGCAGAACGTTGAAACCTACTGACTCAACTAAATGCAATAAACCCGTTATATTTTCCATGTTGTATCAAAGTTTCTGACCACGACAGGCTAGTGTGTCAAGGCAAGCTAAAGGAACCTAAACCACCATCATTAGTTTTATATGTAATGATGTGTTTGTTATTAAAACCCCTGTTTTCTGCAGGAGCTGGAATCCTCCTGACTCGAGGAAATGCAATTACATTTCATTTTATTCCAAATGTTTCTACTTTTAAAAACAATATCTTTACCACGAGACGCTTAAATCAGACATGTTTTGTTGAAAAAGTCTAAAAAATTACCTGATTCTTCTTTTATTAAGAGTTTTAATCAAAAGAATATGGGTATGATATAAGTCCCAGTGTGTTCTGCAGAAGAAACCTACTGACTCCACAAAGGCAATCAATTCTGTTATATTGTTCCGTTTCTAAACAATATTTCGACCAAAACCGTCTCAAATAATCTGTGTTTTCGTAAAGTGAGCTATAAAAACGACCTGAATCCACTTTTCAGTGAAATCCACCCGGCTGAGAGCCTTCAAACCAGAGCAACAGCAACAAGAGAGTTAAAATACACACATCAGTGTTTTAGGATCTTTTCAGAAGCAGAGAGCGAGGAGGAGAGAGAAAGAAAAGGAGGCGGGACTTAGCTGCTTTCCTCTAATCCTATTGGCTGGCTCTGGATCTTCACGATTAAGCAGAGATGGGAGAAATACTCAGATCTTGTACTTGAGTAAAAGTAGAAGTACTCAGATCTTGTACTTGAGTAAAAGTAGAAGTACTCAGATCTAGTACTTGAGTAAAAGTAGAAGTACTCAGATCTGGTACTTGAGTAAAAGTAGAAGTACTCAGATCTGGTACTTGAGTAAAAGTAGAAGTACTCAGATCTGGTACTTGAGTAAAAGTAGAAGTACTCAGATCTAGTACTTGAGTAAAAGTAGAAGTACTCAGATCTTGTACTTGAGTAAAAGTAGAAGTACTCAGATCTTGTACTTGAGTAAAAGTAGAAGTACTCAGATCTATACTTGAGTAAAAGTAGAAGTACTCAGATCTTGTACTTGAGTAAAAGTAGAAGTACTCAGATCTTGTACTTGAGTAAAAGTAGAAGTACTCAGATCTTGTACTTGAGTAAAAGTAGAAGTACTCAGATCTTGTACTTGAGTAAAAGTAGAAGTACTCAGATCTTGTACTTGAGTAAAAGTAGAAGTACTCAGATCTTGTACTTGAGTAAAAGTAGAAGTATCAGACTGTACTTGAGTAAAAGTAGAAGTCCGTGACTACTTGAGTTAGTAACTCAGATCTAGTACTT